GGTACCAGCAAATATGCTGGGGGTAACCCTGCGATGGACTAGCATCCCATCCAGTGGGGAGTAGCAATACTCTCAGCCGCTTCATGCTAATGAAACCGGAGTTAAGCGCCGGCCCCATGGGCCACTTGGGCCTGTATAAAAGACTTTGAAACAATACATCAAATGTGGTCTCTACTCTGTAAGTAAGGCCAGCAACGAGCTCAAAAAGCGTTTCATGTTTTATGCTGTTGGTTTTCAATGATCATTAACTTATTTGTTAATAGTAACTATTAATATCACCGATAATTTATTTTTAGGTACAATGACAATCAGCGAGCACAGGATGCCATGAATGTTACTTTGTTTCACTGGGGTATTCACGGCTGGATCGTGTACGTCATTGTCGGCCTACTACTTGCATTTGTTGGGTTCAGGCAGGGTCTTCCCATGACCGTGCGTTCTTGTTTCTATCCCCTCATCGGCAAAAAGATCTTTGGCTGGATGGGTGACGCAGTAGACATACTTTCCGTGGTCTGCACCATGTTCGGCGTCTGCACCAGCCTTGGACTGGGTGTTATACAGATGAATACTGGCTTTAACCGTCTTTGGAACCAGATTGAAGTCACAACCAGTAATCAAATCATCATTATCTGGTGTGTCACTGCATGTGCCACAGCCTCAGTGGTTAGCGGCCTGAAAGTTGGAATTCGCCGCCTTAGCGAGATCTGCTTCATCCTGGGAATGTTCCTTATGCTTGTTACATTCTTCTTTCAGGACACCTGGCATATACTCAACGTTTACGTTCAAAGTGTTGGCTACTACATGCAGTGGATCATTCAGCTCGGCTTTCATACAGATGCGTTCGCACAACTAAATAATGCGCCGGATGGCAAGTCCAACCCAGACTGGATGGGAACTTGGACCATTTTCTACTGGGGATGGTGGATCGCCTGGTCCCCTTTTGTGGGAATGTTCATCGCCAAGATTTCAAGAGGAAGAACCATTAGGCAGTTTATCAACGCCACAATGACGGCTCCAATAATTTATTCGTTCCTCTGGTTTTGCATTTTTGGCAGCGCGGGTTTGAAAATGGAACGAGATGCTGAATCTCGCAACATCACTAACGCCACTGGGAAGTTCGTTCGGCTTTCGTCTCGAAAAACAGAAGAAATGTGGTTTGATGTTATGGACCAACACGGTGACCTGGGGATGTTCCTATCAATAGTTTCACTTGTAAGCATTGTCCTTTACTTCGTAACAAGCTCCGATAGCGGTTCCCTGGTGATCGACTGTCTCTCAGCAAATGGCGAAGAAGAACCACCCGTCATTCAGCGCGTTTTCTGGGCTTTAACAGAAGGTGCCTGTGCTACAGCCCTGCTATACTCTGGTGGGACTAACGGGCTGAAAGCTCTACAAGCAGTGTCCATAGCATCTGGCGTCCCTTACACTATTATGCTATGTTTCATGTGCGTGGCTTTATGGAGAGCAGTTAAAATAGAAGCTGGAGACTTAGATCCCCACGGCCCACACTTTTCAACTGGTCTCCTGGATGTTCTGATTGAACCCACCATGTCAAGCGTCCAAAAGGTTTTAATTGCAATCGTGGCACCATGGTATTCCATGGGGAAAGCTGCCTCTAAGATCGCTAGTAGAGAAGACCGAAAATATGTTTATATGCTGGCCCTTGCTGTTCCCTTTTATCTCTGGGTTATTTGCATGGCTCTTGAGCCAGCGGTAGAGGGAATTTCTTACATTGGATGGACAATCTTGATTGGATTCTTCGCTTATGCCACAGCTATCCGTTACTCCATTCGAGAAAAGTACGCCATCTATGGTAACATGACTGAAGACTTCTTTGCAGTAACGCTGACCTACTTCTTTGCGGCATACCAGATGGAGCGTCACATGGACGACGTTGAACACTTTGACATAGAAAGCACAAACCAGAGTGGAGGAGTCAGCCAAGACATCATGCTCTCCGAGGTTCATATCAACAGGATGACCGAAGACGATGACGTGACAAAACCAAAGATATCTGATTCTAAAACAAATGGCTTTGGCTCAAATGGCCATGTTAATGGTGGTGCTGGTGATAACCATCACATGCCCACAGAAAGCCAAGACAAAAGTTTTGATGAGGCATTTTGAAAAGAACAAGAGAACAATCCGAACAGGAAATCACTCAGATGAAATCAGTGCAGAACTGTTTCAGACCAAACCAACAGAACTCTACTACCTTTATTATCTTAAATATATATCAAAACGGATTTCTTTCTACGTTGTAAAGATCGCGTGCGCCATTTTAAGTTTGTTAGAGGATTAGCATAAGCGGGAGTCATTTCGGGCGAGACATTCCGATACATAAAATTTTTGATGAAGCGTAAAGCAAGTGAAGAAGTTTACCTGTTTTTAGCTACGAGGATACCACTTTCACAAGTGCCTTTATTACCAAGGAAGCAATGACTCGGTTTACACCACAAATATTATTTTATAAAATAATCTTCACAAAGCCTTCCTTGAACCTACCTGTTTTTTTTTGTTTGTTTTTTCTTGAAGGGAAACAGGTTTCATGAGAACCCAGACTATAACTAGAATTGGGTCCAATGCAAACATACAATTAGATAATTTACTGCACTTTTCAAAAACATGCGAACTATGAGGTTGTGATCGTATCACTAAAAATGCGTTTAACCCCCTCCAGCCGCCTAAGGCCCACCTAAAAAGCAGTTGCTCCTACGGGTCAAGTTCCCGAGTTGTGATAGGGATATTTTCAGATCTATTTTTCATGGGTCTGCTCTAAAGGAGCTGTTACGTTAATTATCTGTGATATATGGCAATGCAACACGAAATCTGAACCTCGGAGTTCGCATGTTCTATAAAGACTCTTTATATTAAGGTCATAGATATAATCAATTATTTAATGAGGCTAAATGCAAATATAAGTTTATCAACGTTGCTAATTTATTTAGAAATCACTGGGAAGT